GTTTTGAGTGCTCCGGATTTCAGGAATTTTAGCTTCAATAAAGGTTGACCACTGTGATCAACATGCTGGGCTATGCTGTTCGTAACCTCTGTTCAGACCACACTCTGCTCCCTGAGCCAGGAGTAGATCTCTGGGATCTTAATTCCTAACATTTTACTATCATCTAGCAAACACAGGCATATAATTAAAGACTGTATCATAATGCTTATGCACATGGGGGCAGAACTAAGGTTCCACAGGCCGCTTTAATGCTGGCATTGCCTAATTTGTGAGTGCTTGATCTTGCAAGTCTAATGCTCTGTAATGTAGTTTGATTGTGGGGTTGTTTTGTCTTTTTTTAATGTAATATAGACCCCCTTTTACGTCAGTACCTATTGAGAGACTTGATGCATCTGAATTGCTAATGAGCTGCAAAAGCTTTCATCTGCAGATCGCCAGTTTTAATCCAGCTCTGCTGGCGAGGGGCTGAATGCTGTTTCCATATTATGGATATTTGGTGGGTCAGTTCCAGTTCCCATCTTCTGCTAATTGCAGACTCATCAGAGAGGCCAAGAGTTGCATAGGCCACAGAGTCTGCACTAGCCCTGTTATCCCTACAGGTAGACTCCCCTCCCCCATCCCCAAATCCCTTGAGACATGCTGGCAGGGCAGTGTGTGGGGGACTATTGCCCCTGTAGATCAGTACAGGACTTCTTTCACCAGTTCAGGGCTATCAGACCTACACCTTTCACAAGTAATGCATGCAAATACATGGGGGATCAAGTTAATGGTTATATGTAAATTATACAGTAATAGGCAAATTAAATCAAATAATTTACATAAAACACCCCCCAGCATGGAATTATATCTCCTCCCCAGCACAGCATTCCTCCAACCTCCCCCCCACAACTCTTCCCTTCCTGCCCCTTGGCAGAGAGAGCTTCCCCTGGGCAGATAATCCCTTTCTTTCAGTGTGGGTTGGTAGGTGACAGCCAGGTGTGTGGGGGGGAATGTTGCCCCGGTAGATCAGTACATTCATTACTCTGCTAGACAATAAAAATAATGGACTGGACAGAAACACTGGATTTACCGTTTATTACAACCATCTGCAATTCACTAACACCTTTTTGTCCTCTGTGTGGCTTGAAAGCTTGTCTCTCTCATCAACAGAAGTTGGTCCAATAAAAGATATTATCTCACCCATCTTGTCTAATATCCTGGAACCGACACGGCTACAACTACACTGCATACAAAATCTCTCCTGGTATTTTATGAAGGATTTATTCAGAAAGTGGCAACAGTCCAAGGTTTCAGACACTTCTGGGTCTTTCCCTGGAGTAATTGAGCTTTTCCTGTCTGGTGCTGCTTCATGAATAAATTTGTTATCTTTATAGACTCTCTATATAACTATTGGCCCACATCTTCCCATATAATGGGAAAACACACAGAAGCAGAACAGGAGAAGTAAAATTATACAAGGTTCCCCTTTAGGGTGACCAGACAGCCAGTGTGAAAAATCAGGATGAGGGTGGGGGGTAATAGGAGCCTACATTTAAAAAAAAAGTCCCCAAAATTGGGACATCTGGTCACCCTATTCCCATTGCAGTTTCTTTAGTAGATAGAAGATGTGGAGTTTGGCCTCCTGGGAGAAGTACCAAGTCCAGCTCACAGACTTCACAATCACTGAGATATACACCTATCTCATAGAGCTGGAAGGGACCCTGAAAGGTCATAGAAGTCCCTGCCTTCACTAGCAGGACCAAGTAGTGATTTTGCCCCTGATTCCTAAGTGGCCCCCTCAAGGATTGAACTCATAACCCTGGGTTTAGCAGGCCAATGCTCAAACCCCTGAGCTATCCCTCCCCCCTGAGCCACATGTATCTTGGGAATCCACTACTGACACAGGGCCATCTGCACAGAGCATGTGTTCCTCCACACTAGCTGTGATGCCCCATGCAATTTTCCGTGGCAAAGTATTTTTACTTTGTGGCAAGTGAGCTCAGAGCATATGCATAACAACTAGCAGAGAAGTGGCTGTTGTAAAATAAATGCAATCTACTTATCCATCTGTCCCCTTACTAACATTCAGTGGGGGTGTTTTGGTTGGCTAGCTCCCAGTACCAAAAGAATGGGGGGAGGCCAATGTTCCCCGTCAGCCTGATTGACAGGGCGGGCAGGCTAATCAGGGAGTCAGGAGGCCAGGGGGCCCCGTCCTCCGTGTGAGTTGGAATTGCCTGGGTCAGACAGAGTGGGGCTGAGCTAAGGAGAGAGCAGGGGCCCGAGCTGAGTGGGGAGCAGAGCTGGGCCAGCCAGAGGGGCCACAACAGCAGCCCGGGAAGCAGGTCAGAGCTGGGAGCAGAGTCACAGATGCCTCCTGCAGAGCAGATCCTGCGCTGGGAGCAGAGCTGCCGCTGCAGAGCCAGGTGTGGTGAGCAACTGTGGCCAGCCAAGGGGGGATTCTGGGCAAAGGGCCCAGTGCGAAAGACACCCCCAGCCAAGGGCCCTTGCAGGCCAGACTGGGAGGAGGATCTTAACCCGACGGGGGGCTGACGCTGGGAAGAAGGGTCCCACCACCCAAAGCCTGGAGGTGTGTGACCACCACAATTGCAAGTGTCCGACCCGCAGCATCCCTGCAGCACAGCCAGGGCCTGAGAAGAAGGCCTGGGACCTACAAGGAACAGACAGTGAACTGCCCTGACATTCCAGAGACACTAGTTGTGATGTCCCCTGCCACAGAGTGGGGTGACGTGTTTTCCTTTAACCTTTCCCATTTTTCCTAATTCTTTTTTTTTTTAATTAATTGTTGATTAAACAACTTGTATTTGATTTAAATTGTATGTAATGATCAGTGGGTCAGGGAAGTGCCCAGTGCAAAGAGAGTACTCCGGAGTGGGGACACCCTAGCCCCTGTCCTAGGTGACCACAGCAAGGTTGGGGGTTGAGCCCCCCAGGAATCCTGGGCCCAGCCTTGTTGGGGTTATGAGGACTCTGCCAGACAGGAGAGTGGAAGGGGAGTCCTCAAAGGCAGGGAGGCCTCTGGGTAAAGGAAGTGGGAGCGAGGACTCAGATCCTTTCACTAGCCCATTTCACCGGGGTAGTGCAGAAGCCAGGAAAGTTCCCCACAATAGCGGGACCATTCCCCCGCTTACACACCCACAGACATCTATTGTCTGTGGCTGTAAGGGTGGCGGGTGAGACAATCTGGAGAAACTGTATGGTTGCCATGTGAATAGTGATAATTGTGCTACACTTTGTGTTCTGATGCAGCTGATGCCACATAGAATCGTAGGACTGGAAGGGACCTCAAGAAGTCATCTAGTCCAGTCCCCTGCATTCATGGCAGAACTAAGTAATACGCAATAGATTTCTTACTGATAGATTGTTCCCTGATGACTTTTAGATACACTCTCCAGCCTTGTCACTGCTGCATCTACTTACTCTTGGCCCTGATTCAGTGATTGTGGGTATATTCTATTGTGATGTTATAATTTGTGCATGAAAAACAGCACAGCGCTTACATTGCACAGCTGATGTGCTGCTGCAGCCAATTAGACAGAGGTGCTGTATGACAAATGGACTTTGTAATTAGCTGCTGCCAAAAATCCTTTGATTCTGTCAGCCTTACAGCAATATGTTGGCAAAAAGCAAAATTGGGTTCAGGTACCCACCATGCTGGCATTCTCCTATATGCCCCACTGCCTTTTAAACACTGTGGCAGGATTTGTTTAGCGTGCACATGATGCTCCGTTATTCTGTATATCTACAATACATGAGCTGGCATAAATGATCACTGCTAACAAAGCAGGGTCCAGAGTGAGGCCAAGACTACTTGGATGATTATCCTTGTTGGCCCAGTGCTTGTGAATGGCTTTTGACTTAGCTCTATGTGGCAATATTTGTCTACCTTTAAACAGCTCTGACAAGGGATACACAGGTGACCAAGCAGCAAACTCACAATAAGTTCGAAGAGGATTTTCTTACAAAGAACATGCTTCAAAAGCCCCTGTAAATAGTGAAACCAAGTTATGGCAGGAAGAGCAGTCTGAAGCAAAAACAATTTAAGTACTATCCATTTCTATGAAGAAAAGGCGACAAGCTCAAATACAAAATAACCAAACCTTATAGCAGCTTGAGAGCAATTCTAAAGGGCTTGACAGGTGACTCCAAGTATAAAATTGTACTGGGATGAAAGATTAAACCTGTGCCTATAATGGGAGTCTATACAGAGGCCTCTGTGTCATAGTGGAAAATGTTGGGTATAACCCACAGCCCTCAGGGCCACAAGAAGAGCAAGGACAGTACCGCAGGCAGAGTCTTACCCTGGTCGGGCACATGAGAGATGCCCGATGACAAAGGAACATGTTTTCTGTACACTGCAGTGACACTCCCTTATCAACAAGCTAGATGGGTGAGCACAGGGAACCCTGAGGGTTATGGGACCACTGCCAGGCCACCACCAAATCCATGAGGGGGATTTGAAATGGGCAACAGGGGAGTAGAAGGGACCATGCCAGCACCACGGAATGGGTGTGTGTGTGGAAGGGGCTGCTGCACTGTTACCAAAAATCATACATTCTAAGATCAAAAGGGCCTATTGTGACCATCTAGAGTCTGATCTTCTGCAGAAGACAGGCCAATGGAGGAGGTTGGGAGAGGAGGAATCATGTTTTATCACCGTGTTGGGGGAAATGTTGATGGTGAGGGGAGGAAAAGTTACCATCACCATGGCGATGGGGGAAATGCTGTCACCTGGTGATGGGGTGGGGGGCTTTATCACCATGGCAATGGGAGAAATGCTGTCACCCTGGTGTGGGGGTGGCTTTATCACCATGGGGATGGGAGAAATGCTGTCACCCTGGTGTGTGTGTGGGAGGGTGGCTTTATCACCATGGTGATGGGGGAAATGCTGTCACCTGGTGCCGGGGTGGGGGCTTTATCACCATGGCGATGGGGGAATGCTGTCACCCTGGTGATGGGGTGGGCGGGGCTATCACCCTGGCGACGGGGCGGAACTCTCGAGTCGGAGCGCACCCTGTGTCCGGCTGGGCCCCAGCACCCCCGGGCGGCCCGGCACGAGGGGCGGCGTATCGGTGTATCACGCGCGGGCGGAACCGGGCCACTCTCTGCAGGCAGGCCCCGAGGTGCTCCGCCCCCAGCGCTGCGGCGGACGCGGCACCGCACCAGGCCGCGCTGGCCAAAATCCCGCTGACACCGGAAGTGCACCTGCTGCCCGCAGCTAACATGGCGGATGCGGCTTCCCGCAGAGCCACGCGCGCGCCGGCCCGGCAGATGAGCCCTCCCTGGGCGGCTGCCTGATGCTGCTCTTGGCGTTCGGGACAGCACGTGGGCTGTGACGCGTGAGCGCCCGTACTCCGCGCATGCGCCCTGGGAGGGGGACGAAGCCGGTGGCTGCGGAGGATGTCGGCGCAGGGGGATTGCGAGTTCCTGGTGAAGCGGGCCCGGGACCTGGTGCAGGGGGACCTGTGGGCGGCCAAGGCCTGGCTCATCACGGCGCGGAGCCTCTACCCGGCCGACTTCAACATCCAGGTCAGGGCGGCAGCCCACCCCCGCCGCCCGCTGTGTGTGCGGCTCGCGCCTCGCCCCCCTCCCCAGCCCTGTGTCCGCCTCGCCCCCCTTCCCACAGTGCCTTGCGGCAGCCCCCCCCCAGCCCTGGGTGCGCCTCGCACCCCCTTCCCATAGTGCCTTGCGGCAGCCCCCCCAGCCCTGGGTGCGCCTCGCACCCCCTTCCCACAGTGCCTTGCGGCAGCCCCCCCCAGCCCTGGGTGCGCCTCGCACCCCCCCCCACAGTGCCTTGGTGCTGTCCCCCACCCCACTGTGTGCCTCGTCCCCCCTGCTCCCCCCCCCCCCACGTGCCTTGAGGCAGCCTCAGGGGAACATGGAAGGGGTTGGTCCTCATATTCCCCAAGTCAGCATCTGAGGCACTTGCCTGGTCTTGCCACACGGAGCCAGCCCTGGCAGCAGGAGCCTCCCTCTGCCCTGAGCTGAAGGGTAGCACTGATGATAGCCGCCTCCTGAACCCTGGGGAGGAGGGTGGTGGCAGCACATGGCTTAGGCCCCCCACATGTGGGTTGTCATACCATGCTCATTGCCATGGTGGGGACCTTAGGGACCTGGCTGCGTCCCAGCCTGCAAACCACTTGGAGCGTGGCTGAGGTCCCATGCCGCAGGGATGTACCTATGGCCTCGCGCCGAGCTGGCGCTCCCCTCGTGGAGCGACATGAGGGCCACCCCATGCAGGGGTACTCAGGTGAATCCGCTAAAGGTGTGAATTCATCATGTTAAATGTCCTGGGGATTGCTCCTGCAGGGCAATAAAGTCGCCATTCGTAGGAACCCCTTTCCTTCTGAGAGTGCATCCACACGGGGTTTGGTGTGCTTTAATTTACATGCATTGTCTTCGCATCTTCAGTTGATTCATTTGAGCTTTTGTTGGTATCCTCTTGTAGACATGACCTTTGCAGGATTGGGGGCCTTAGTCATGCTCTTGCTAGAGCTAGCCTGAAAAATAAAAACCTGTACTAGAGAAGTGGTAGGCCAGAGCACACGGAGTACGGGGAAAGCCATGGAGACAAAAGTTTTTTCAGTCCCAGTCAGCTCAAATGCTTTCCTTTCTCTTCACCTTTCAGCACAACAAAATTCCAACCTGGTGAAACAAATTAAAGTAAAAACACAAATGGATTATAGGAACAATAAGTGGTTAATGATGCGAGAGTCGTAGCCTCTGCTGTGTGCTGGCAGTGCTTCTTTCTGTTCCCACAATGTCAAAGAAGGCGCAGCTGTATAAAATCATACATTACAGAATTCCAATGTAAGAGTTTTGGCATACAAAAGATTAACACTTTCAGACTGTAACACAATATAATTATTACTAGGACCCTACTTGAATTGCAGGATAATTGTCAAAAAAATTGTGGCTGAGTTGCGGACAAACCATGGACAATTGTGGTAAAGTAATAATGGACCTTATTATTTGCAGTAATAAAGTCCATTATTACTTTTCCGCTGTCGGCTATCCAAGGCTGACAGTGGGAACGTGGGGCTGAGAGTGGGGTTCTCACTGTCAGCTGCCCGGGGCATAGGTATGGCACTGTAGCTATGCTGGTATAACCCTATTGTATAGATGCAGCTTGCACTGACAGAAGGATTTTTTCCATCTGTGTAGGAATATCACCTCCCTGAGCAACAGAAGCTAGGGTGATGGAACCATTCTTTCATCGATCTACCTGCAGCTGTACTGGGGGATTGGTCAGCATAACCACATTGCTCAGGGAGGTGGATTTTTCAAACCTGAGGGACATAACTGTGTAAATTTAAATGTTAAGTGTAGATGTGGCCTCATTCATTGGGATGTTCTAAGTTGGATGTGCACTTTTTTCATTCCTGCCATTCATCTAGTTGCATTGTCAAGGCAAATAATCAGGGTTCTATTTCAATTTTTTTATTTAACAAAACAAACTAGGGAATGCCATAGAAAACCTGCATTGAGAACTTATACAGCCCTGGTCCTGCAAACACTTAAGCACATGCTTGACTTCAGTAGAACTACTAGTGCTAAAAGCTAAGCATGCGTGTAAGTGTTTGCAGGGGGCAAAGTCTGTAAAGTGAAGCATCCATAAGTTAGGAAATGCCAAAGTTAATGTCACTTGAAGAAACTGCCATTGTGTTTTTGATAGTGCTTTTCAAACTTTCATAATGTGACTCACAAAAGTCGTTGTCATTTACCACCTTCCTTCTATTCCCAGTTGTGTGGCCCCACTAGCTCTCTCATTCATGAACAAATAACATTCCTGTGACAATTACAGCAACTGTTTCCAAGGAAAAATATTTTAAAAAGTAACTATTGCACTTTTATGAAATTTAGCAAGGAAGAAGGAGGCCCCCAGCAAATGGTTCACAGACCTGTATTTTGGAATATCTGCAATCTTTAATTATATTATTGCAAACTCACTTTTCTCTGAGGCTCTTGGATCATTAATACTTAGGTGGAGAGAATGCAGCAAATGAGCTGGTGTGGTGCATAGTGAACAAAGTGGTGGGAACCTGTCATCCCTGCTTCCTTATAGTTCGGATTCTGTTTAATTACAACAGTGTAAATCTGGATCTCTTAACATACACCATAAACTTACACAGAATGTACCCAGATGTGAGAGCTGAATTGTCACTCAATACATTCATTGCACAGAGTAGATGGGTACAGTGCAGAGGTAGGTTTCACTCATTTGAGAGGATAACACATTTATTCAAAAAAATGAAAGTAAATGAGTGTGCATTGACAAAGTAAAGTTTGTCCCATGTAGTTGACTGTGTGCACCTCCCATCTTCATTTCTGTTCTAATAATTTATTTACAAATATTGTACTGCTGTCTTATTCACTGTACATAGTCTAGTCTGCACACTGAATGAGGCATTGGTCCGGTGGATAAAACAGCATGTATTCATATAGTAAAAATGCTGTATTGTAATGCATACATTCAAAGGTACAGAGTTAACTTTAACTTTGGCATTTCTTGACTTTAGAGTTTGTGCCCACTTCTCAGTTGGTGTAAATTGGCATAGTGCCATTAAAGTCAAAGGCACTATGTTGATTTATACCAGTGGAACATCTGGCACCTTCACTTTGCAGTCTGGAATAATCTTTTACCTTTATTTTGTACTAAATTTGCACAGCTTCATAAATGTATGTGGTGGTTTACAGAAAATTTAAAGCCTGGAACCCGCCTTCCCCATGAACTCACAGTTTAACTCAGACAAATATGATATATAGGACAAGGATGAAGATGCAAGAATGCGTGGACTCAGTGAGGAGTTCAACCTAGAAAATGTACATAGAAGTGGGATTCAAAGAGGGATTTGAAGGAGGAGAGTGTGGGTACTTGGATATGCAAGAAACTGATCAGATTCCTTCAGCAGAAGACTAGAGAGAACTGTTGGCAAACTCCAAAGAGGGTAGGGGTGTCCTGCTGAAAGTTGCACAGGCAATGTCATGTTAAAGATCATGGTTTTGGTTTGCTTTTTAAACCTTCCTGCAATTAAAAATAAAAACTTTGTAAAAGTTCAATTGCTTTTGGCATTTCACCCAGCAAAGACAATGAAAATAGACCAGTCAGTTTCATTACTTTGTTTATAGTAGGTTTAGTCAATTTTTGTGTCTCCTGCACTAGGACAGTGCTGCAGTGTTTGGGTTTCAGGCTTTGCAGCAGGATGTTTATTTGTATAAAAATAACCTTTTCCATTGGAGTTTTCCATTATTTACATTGGCCTTAGGTGTTGTCAAAACTTGAACTAAATTTGAGTAGTATCCTTGGGAGTAAACTTGCTTGTGTAATTGATGGAGTTCATTGTATTGTCATTGCTTTTTTTATTTTCGAGAAGATAAAATAAACTTATTTATCTTAACAATATTAAAACATATAGCAGTTAAAGTAAGATTTTTGTATGGTTACAAATATTTACCATCAGTTTTTAGTTTCTAAATTGAATACTGTTTGTGGTACTTTCAGTATTTACTATTCAAATATGGGCTCATTATAACAAGTTAGTGACAGGTGTCAGTATGGAAGAACGAAGTGGGTACATGAGGATATACAGTGTGGCTATTATTCCATTCTCTTGTATTTCAGTATGAAATGTACACTATCGAGAGGAATGCTGAGCGGACAGCATCAGCTGGCAGACTGTTATATGACATGTAAGTAATAGAAATGCTTTTGCTTAATTCTCTTTTGAAAGTGTCTTGTAAACTTCGCTCAACATAGAACTCTAAAAACACTCGTCATCTTTTTCCATGCTGTATACCACAGTACTTTTATCATAAGATGGGAGTGCAAGGATCTAATGCTGATGTTATGTCGTTTCTGTAGGCAAACTAGACAGATCTTACTCATCTTTTCAAAACAAAATCAGCCATGAAAGCAAAATGTTCTTTTGCATTTCTTCATACAGGTGCTTTCAAAGTAAGCTTTCTGTTTTAAACTGAATTTGGGATTATTCTAATTTTTTGCCTGACCCTTTATTCCAGGTTTGTGAATTTTCCAGACCAGCCAGTGGTGTGGAGGGAGATTAATGTTATTACATCAGCATTAAGGAATGACTCACAGGATAAGCAGACTCAGTTCTTAAGAGGTAAGGACTCTGTCATCTGACAGAGGTGGAGTCTAGTGGGAATCTAAGAATAAATCCCCAGGCTACACAGCTGATTTGGAAGCCGCAAGTCCTAGTCTGATGAACTATCTGTGGTCTATTGTATACAGTGACTCTCAGCCACAGAGACTCACCTACTGTTAGGCCTGGTCCCCACTAAGCCCCCACTTCGGACTAAGGTATGCAAATTCAGCTACGTTAATAACGTAGCTGAATTCAAAGTACCTTAGTCCGAACTTACCGCGGGTCCAGACGCGGCAGGGAGGCTCCCCCGTTGATGCCGCGTACTCCTCTCGCCAAGCTGGAGTACCGGCGTCGACGGCGAGCACTTCCGGGATCGATCCCAGAACATCGATTGCCTCCGCTGGACCCTCCGGTAAGTGTAGACGTACCCTTAGGTTTAGGAGACACAGGGGAAGAAGCAGGGCAGGGAGCTGAAGCACTATGAGAAGTGCAACTACCAGCTCCACTCCTCTGTCAGTATCCCTTGCCAGGGAACTACCTCTTGGTGGCTGGCAGAGGATTTGGTGAACCACAGGTGGCTTGTGAAATTGGGACTTGAATCTGACAAACTAAATGTAGTTTGCTGGCCAAGGACGTGCACCAGAACAGTTAGTGAAGGCTGTGGGAGCAGGTCACGGAGAACAGTTTGTGTAGTGATTATAGAGCCTCACAAATACCTCCCATGAAAATGTATGAGAAGGAATATGTAGCACTCTTATTTCTAGCCAGACACTTCACTACTACTACTTCTTCTTGACTCCTTTTCTCATTTACATGGGGTCGGAGATGCCCACGATTCTTTGCCACTCCTTCTAATGACTCAAACAAGACACCAATTAATAGAATGGCCATAGTGTGTGGATACTGACAAGAGACCTTCTTGGAAATCGACCTTCTTAAGGGTTTATTAAAGGATACAGAAACATAGAACCATAGGATTAGAAGGGACCGCAAGGGTCATCTAGTCTGCCAAGATGCAGGATTTGTTGTGTCTAAGCCATACAAGACAGATGGCTCCAGCCTCTTCTAGAAAACCTCCAGTGAAAGAGATTCTGCGACTTCCCTACCCAGTTTGTTCCATTGTCCTACTGTTCTTACAGTTAGGAAGTATTTCCTGAGATTTAATCTAAAACAGCTATGCTGTAGTTTGAACCCATTGCCTCTTGTCCTGCCCTCTGTGGCAAGAGAGAACAATTTTTCTCCATCTTTTTATGTCAGCCTTTCACGTATTTGAAGACTGCTATCCTGTCCCCCACTTAATCTCCTCTTTTCCAAACTAAACATACCCAGTTCCGTCAGCCTTTGCTCATGTGGCTGCATTCTGTCCCTTTGATTATCTTTGTCACTCACCTCTGAATCCTTTCCAGTTTCTCTACATCCTTTTTATACGTTAGTGACAAAAATTGGACACACTACTCCAGCTGAGGCCTAACCAGCGCTGAGTAGAGCGGTACTATCGCTTCCCGTGATTCGCATGCTGTGCCTCTGTTAATGCAACCCACTATTGCATTTGCTTTTTTTGTGACAGCATCGTATTGTTGACTCATACGATAGGCCATCGTCTCTTTTAAACAAATTATCTAAATACAACATTCATTATTAAAAATCTCAATGGGAATTCTTGATAAGGCTACCATCTGTCTTAACAAATATTAAATGGTTTTGATTTCAGTGTTCCCATGCATTACTATAATATCGTTTTTAAATTTTCTAAATTGTTTTAAAATTTACTTTTATTAACCATGCACTTTACCCTGAAATATATTTAGAAAAGTATGTGCATTGCTCTTCGCATAGGTATGGGTGCCTGTTCTCTGTCTAAAACGTCATAGTAGTTGCAAGAGCACTGTAGGATGCTTTTTGTAACTGAACAACAAGACAACATTGATTATTCTTTTGCTTTTTTTCTGTCTCCTCAATTCAGACAGATTGCTTTTTATTTCAATAACTGATTTTTTTTTCCAGGTTTATTTGAGACCCTTCCTGGTCGAATTCAGTGTGAAATGTTACTAAAGGCCACAGAGCAGTGTTTTAATACGCTAGAAAGGGCAGAAATGCTACTGCTGCTTCTACGACGCTTCCCAGAGACTGTGGTGCAGCATGGGGTAAGAGAAAACTAGCTCCTTTTTGCTGTTAACAACCTTATCAGCCCGTGCCTTTGTGTCCCCGTTATGTGCTTTGTCAGATGAGGGTGGGTTGTTTTTTTTTAACTTCAGATTTGCAGGTGATATTTCAGGCAGTTGCTGCTGTCATACCTTAAGTTCAGACCCCCAAATGAATCATAGAATATCAGGGTTGGAAGGGACCTCAGGAGGTCATCTAGTCCAACCCCCTGCTCAAAGCAGGACCAATCCCCAATTTTTGCCCCAGATCTCTAAATGGCCCCCTCAAGGATTGAACTCACAACCCTGGGTTTAGCCGGCCAATGCTCAAACCACTGAGGTTATAAGTGTAAAATTAACCCAAGAAAACAAAGCATTCTCTTTCTTTGTAAAGTCCACAGGTGAGTCCATGATTAAAAGTAAGCCAAACAGTAAAAAAAGAGAGATTGTAATCTCACATTAAAATGAAATCTTGTTTACTAGAAAATGATACTGCTTTGTCAGTTACTACTTATTTAGGAGACGAGTGGGAGACAATGAACTTACTGAAATATGCACTACAGTATATTTTTGCTTTAGGATTTGTCCCCTGAGATTGACTCCACAGATACTAAAACATTGCTGTTTAACTGTAAAGTGTAAATGAAAATTGCATAGTGTACTAATCTCAGTACACGATGGAATGCTACTGATGGGAGCGTGTTTGCTCAATTGCTTTGAATCTCATATTTCCAAAAACGTCAAAGTACTGAGTAGCTATTCATTTTAACCACTTCTCACACAGGTGGGCCTAGGAGAAACGTTATTAGAGGCTGAAAATATTGAGGACCAAGAATCCCCGGTCAATTGCTTTAGGAAATTATTTGGTAAGAAAATACAAGTGTCTGTTTTATTATAGAACTAAATGACAAAACTTGGTACCATCTGTTAAGAACTCGTCAGCCTAGGTTGGTAGTGAACAAATCTTTTTAGTTTAATGGCCTGTGTGAAATGAGTTGGCAGTCCTTACTCCAGATGTGCAGAGGACTCTTGGATTTGATCTTCTACCTTGCTGTCACAAAAATTTGGCTACTGTTAGTATATCATCTGCCGAAATGATATGTTGAATTCTAGGTTACTATATACTCTTATGGAAGTGAACACCTAAGACCTATTTATGCAGGGGAAATTTTCTAACCAATTTTAAAATCATTTAGAGCCCTAGTGGAAACCCAGTTTAAGGCAGCCTGACCAGTTTTTGATTAAGTGGTTTTAAGACAGTTTGGCCTTGGAACAGATTCGGTGGGGTGGGGGGAAACAGATCGGGCCACCTTAAACCAGGTCTATTCTATGGTTCAAACTGGTTTGAAAATTATTGTAGTCTGAACTAATTTTAAAACTGGTCAAAAACTGGACAGGACCCACGGGGCATTTAGTGGCTAACTCTTGTGGTGTTTGCTGTGGTGTACTGAAAACTGTATTAAAATTCCAGGGTTTCACTTTAAGGCTGGCAGGTTAGACAGCTCTATAAGAAAGTGTGTGATCTGGGTCTTTCATAGTTAGTCTTCAAAGAGCCAACCTAGAGTAAGGTAGGTTGAGTTGTGCCTCTCTGTTTTAGGGAGCAGCCTGCTTCGTGTCTCTCTCTTTTGGGGTTCTTGTGTGTTATCATTCTGAATTCTAAGAAATAAAGCACTGTTACATGCAGCTCTTCAGCAAAAGTGTTTTATGTTTATATCGAATTTCTCTGTGTATGCCAGGAAGATAATATTTTGCTAGACAGAAGGTTCTGGAAACTTGCACTGTTGATTTTGAACTCTTATGTAGCCAAAACAAGTATCAGAAAAAACAAACCCAATGTGCTTTTTTTCACCTCTTAGTTTGTGATGTTCTTCCTCTAATCATTAATAACCCTGATGTTCGACTGCCTGCCAGCTTGCTGTACAAGTACTTGAACAAGGCAGCAGAATTTTATATTAATTATGTAACTAGATCTACACAAATGGAAAACCAGTATCAAGGTAAGAATACTTTTACCAAATGATGTTAAAATCCTCTTTTAAATTAGTGTAACTGAATAAGGTATTCATTTTACCTAATATCTGCCACTGAGTTAGGGTAATAAAAATATTGTACAGTTTCACAGGATCTTTCATTTGATTTCAGAAAACTAAATAATCCTGTAAGGAGGGTAAAAGATAGGGATCACTACATCCACTATGAAATGCAGCCATTTCAGTAAAATAATGCAGCAGATATCTAATGGCCCTTGTGAGCGCCACAAAGCAGTTCAGGGTAGGAGAGAGTTTCACATCCATTTGAAACTATGATGTGAATTTAGGCTAGCAGAATATCATTACCTGTGTTGGAACTTAGCTGTGTACGTCACACCAGGTTAATTCCTAACTCTTTGCCATTGGATCTCTACAGAGGACAAGTAGCCCAGGAATGGCTTTGACATATTTGGAGTGAGGCTGTGAAACAGTTTTTGCTTTCTTTGATTCCCTGCACAACATAATAAATTCCTGTCCTTCATTATCCAAGCATTATACACAGGGTGAGACTAACGAATATGGGAGGGTTAGCAGGATTATTCTAAGGCAGCGGTTCTCAAACTGTGGGTCGGGACCCCAGAGTGGGTCGCGACTCTGTTTTAATGTTTTAGTCTTTAAGGTGCCACCAGACTCCTTGTTGTTTTAATGGAGTCGCCAACGCTGGCATTAGACTTGCTGGGGCCCAGGACCAAAGTCAGAACCCCACTGCCCAAGTGCTTCAGGCCCAGGCGATGGGGCTCAGGTTATAGACCCCCTGCCCTGGGCTGAATTCCTTGGGCTTCTGCTTTGGCCCACCACCTGGGGTGGTGGGGCTTGGGCGGGCTCAGGCTTCAGTTTCCCACCTTGGGGTCATGTAGTAATTTTTGTGGTTAGAAAGGGGTCGCGGAGCAGTGAAGTTTGAGAACCAGTGTAGAATCTAAGGAAAACATATTCCATAACTGCCTCATTTTCCATAAATGTGTGTGGGCAGGAGGAATCTAAAGTCTCCTTCCCCAGCCTCCAATGTAATAGCACCCAATTGCTTGTTACAATGGATCATAGTGACTGGTATATTGGGTTTATAACTGTTTGTTTGCAAGGAAAAGAACTAAACCTCCTTTTAAAAAAGGAAGCCAATATTCTCCTTTACATGTCTAGTTCCCCCAAACCAGAACTCATGGGGCGAAAGGTCTAGTCTGTTAGTCAGTGCCTCTATTTTAAGTTTAAGCCTTAAAGCTGGCGTGTTCAGCAGTACAGTTCCCCTAATACCATGCTGGAGTTTTGGCATGTTGCTAGGAGAAAAAAATGTCATCTGCTAAATTCCAACACCTACATGTTCTGTAGCATCTGGGGTTTCCTGGGAGGTTCCCAGTCCAAGGACTTAACCAGACCTGCCACTGCTGTGCTTGTGCGATTTGGTGTGATAGTAGCACAGGCTGGTATGAAGGTGGAACAATGATGGACCTTGTTGAAAAATAATTTTAATAGCGCTCAGACTAGTAAATACTCTTCTGCTTCTTAGAACATAAGGCCAAACATAAAAGAAACTACCATACAACTGCATTTGGAGAATGTTTGACACAAATTAACAAAGATACAGAGATCTAAGACAGTTGAGATGTCCTTTCAGACTAGACGTTTTGAGACACACCTAGGTCTTGATCCTGATTTTACTTACTCTTGTTAATTTGTCTCAACTTGTTTATATTTTCTGTGAAATTGTGGGTAGCTTAGTTACTTATGAAATAGAGGCTTGGAAGTCATTTGATCAGATTTCTTGTAGTGTGTGAAGTGCCATGTAGTTCCAATGTCTCATCAGGTTTATTTTTTTCCTTGCTCAGATAGGATTTCATAGTTATCTATCAAATATACCGTTCTGCTACTTGATTATTTTTTCTTTTAAAAAATTAATACAATGACTTTAACTAATTTAATTTCTGCACAAGGAGAAATCTTTTTTTTTTCTTCCTTTTTTTCTAGGTTCACAAGATACCTCTGATCTCATGTCCCCCAGCAAACGTAGCTCTCAGAAGTATGTAATAGAGGGTCTGACTGAGAAATCATCCCAGATTACAGACCCTTGGGAGAGACTGTTTAAGATACTGTCTGTCGTGGGAATGAGATGTGAATGGCAGATGGATAAAGGAAGAAGGTGAGAAATGTGTCCTTTTTCCTATGGTGGTTTGCTAGGAGAGTTGGGCTTTTCAATTCTTCAGTAAACTGGACTATAGAACAAATTGAATTTTAAATTATATTGTATAATTTCAGCCCAGTATTTTTCTCAAAAGCATACAAGCCAGAGCATGTATGTAGGGTCTGTTGAGCCTCTGTAAACGTTGACCGTATAAGGATAGACTCGGTAGCCTGGTCTACACTAAGAAAACTACTAGGTTGGTGATGACAGACAGCGGCAATGGGTGCAGCTGAACTTCTTCTTTAACATTCCTAGGCACAAACACTGAATTGCAAGCACAGGCTAGAACAAACTGCATTCAGCACCATATTTAGACAGTGCGTTTGCCCTTGCTTACGCTTGCATTAAACTGTGTTCTGTATCAGTGCACCTTCACCTGTTCCTTGTTGACAACAGTGCATGATTTATTTGGTGTAGCCAAAGCTTGTTTTATTTACTTGTCTCTAAGTATGTTAGTATCCTTCTTAACTGGTGAGAGGGAAGACTTTCCAGTTTTTCCGCGGAAATGCAAGCCCCAGAATTATCTGGATCTTTGACTGCGGCTCAGTAATTTTGTCCGATTGTCTGCTGAATACATTGTATTTCCTCCTAGGGCAGTGACCTCCTTTTCGTCACCTTCCCACTCCTGAAACTACTACTAAATTTGAAATGTGTATTTTCATATGCTTTTCTTGAGTTTAGAAGTCTTTGTAATGTATTGTATTCTTTGATTTGTCTCTTACCCTTTAGAAGTTTTGGTGATATTTTACACAGAATGAAAGACCTCTGCAGATACATCAATAATTTTGATAACGAAGCCCATGCTAAGTATAAGAATCAAGTAGTGTATTCCACAATGTTGGTCTTCTTTAAGAATGCATTCCAGTATGTCAGCAGCATCCAGCCATCTCTCTTCCAAGGTTAGTTTTGAAAACACTAATGAGTAAAGATCTTTCAGATATAAGCAATATAAAAACCCTTCTGGAACCGCTGTTTTAAGCTTTAGAAATTTCCTCTAAAGGTAAATGTCTTAGCCTAAATCTCTACCGGTGGGTTGTATCTGGCATATCTTCTAGTGCTGTACTTAAGGCTGAGTTCCAGCTTGCATTCAGCCTCTCTTTTCCCTTTTTACTGTTGCTCATAATATTATCAAACTTACTTTCTTGGAGCTGAAAATTTCCAGCTTGCTTTCAGACCAGAGAGGAGTTGGAAAATTTGCACAAAATCAGTTGAGCTGTTTGAGTTATGAACACATGAATAATACTTCCCTCCAGATGGTCTATTTAAAAAAATATGTTTGTGCATAATTCAATAAAAGCTGAAGCTAAAATCTTCAAATGTGGCTTGTTTTAGATAGCTCATTCAGGTTTAAGGAATAACATGGCCGTGGAGAAAAATGTTAATTTTTTAAAGTAATTTAGAAGTTGAGTGTTTAAAGTGCTATGTTTTCCCCCTCACTCAAATCTAAAGCTAGAGCAGGGGCGGGCAAACTTTTTGGCCCGAGGGCCACATCGGGATTGCGCAACTGTATGGAGGGCCAGGTAGGGAAGGCTGTGCCTCCCCAAACAGCCTGGCCTCCACCCCCTATCTGCCCCCTCACTGCCCCCCTCAGAACCTCCAACCCATCCAACCCCCCCCGGGACTCCCACCCCCTATCCATCAGCCCTCTGCTCCTTGTCCCCTGACCACCCCCCCCCCGGGACCCCCCCGCCCCTAACTGCTCCCCGGGATCCCACTCCCTTATCCAACACCCCCTGCTCCCTGTGCCCTGATTGCCCTCCTGACCCCATCCACATCCCCGCCCCCCGACAGGCCCCCTGGGACTCCCACTCCCAACCCTCCCTGTCCCCCATCCCCTGACCTCCACCCCATCCAACTGCCCCCTTCTCCCCTACTGCCTCCCAGAACCCCCTGCTTCCTTACCCAACCACCCCCCTCCGCGCCCCCTTACCAGCAGCAGGAGCTCGCAGCCGCGACACCCGGCCAGAGCCAGCTGCGCTCCCCCCGCTGCCCAGTGGAAGCAGCAGGCCAGAGCGTGGCCCGGCTGTGGGGGAGGAGGGGATAGCGGGGGAGGAGGGGATAGCGGGGGAGGAGGGGATAGCGGGGGAGGAAATGGGGACTAGGCTCCGGGGCCGGGCAGGATGGTCCCACGGGCCATAATTTGCCCACATCTGAGCTAGAGTATCTCAGAAAAATCAGGATGCTCTGAATTGCTTGTGCTTGGATTGATCTAAATTCTTAGACATGGCCCCAAAGCTGAAGGATATGGTTTAAGCTCTGGTTTCAGTGGGTTTTGAAAGGCTGTGTTCTTTCAAACCAGAGCTATTTGCTTCATATGAAGGATTTTACAAGCCCCATTAGCAATGTTTATTCCCTCCTGTTTTCTTTAATCCCAAAGAGATTCCTTGCAAATATTAATGTCTATTAATATTGAAAAACGGGGCACTCATAAGTCATGAAATGTATAGTTAATGCTGAAAGTCCAATTTAAATTGTCTCTAATTGCACTTATGACTTTCATTATAGACTATTCCTTGATATTATAAACTATTTGTGCTGTATTGTGTATGTAATTACTTAATCTAGAATTTCTTAACAGCTCTACATAAAGTAAGCTATAGTACATAAATCAAGCCAGTTCCTTCTCCCAGAATCCAACGAATCTGTCCTTTGTTGCTTCAAGTGCCATGAATCATAGAACTGGAAGGGACCTCAAGAGGTCATCTAGTCTAGTCCCCTGCACTCAAGGCAGGACTAAGTATTATCTAGACCATCCCTGACAGGTGTTTGTTCAACTTGCTCTTAAAAATCCCCAATAATGGAGATTCCACCGCCTCCCTAGGCAATTTATTCTAGTGCTTACCTACTCTGACAGGAAGTTTTTCCTCATGTCCAACCTAAACCACCCTTGCTGTAATTTAAGCCCATTGCTTCTTGTCCTATCCTCAGAGGTTAAGAACAACAATTTTTCTCCCTCCTCCTTGTAACAACCTTTTATGTACTTGAAAACTGTTATCATGTCCCCTCTCCGTCTTCTCTTCTCCAGACTAAACAAACCCAATTTTTTTCAATCTTCCCTCATAGGTCATGTTTGCTAGACCTTTAATCATTTTTGTTGCTCTTCTCTGGACTTTCTCCAGTTTGTCCACATCTTTCCTGAAATGTGGTGCCCAGAACTGGACACACTACTCCAGCTGAGGCCTAATCAGTGCAGAGTAGAGCGGAAGAATTACTTCTTGTGTCTTGCTTACAATACTCCTGTTAATACATCCCAGAATGATGTTTGGGTTTTTTTTGCAACAGCATCACACTGTTGACTCATATTTAGCTTGTGATCCACTATGACCCCCAGATCCCTTTCCACAGTACTCCTTCCTAGGCAGTCATTTTCCATTTTGTATGTGTGCAACTGATTGTTCCTTCCGAAGTGGAGTACTTTGCATTTGTCCTTATTGAATTTCATCCTATTTACTTCAGACCATTTCTCCAGTTTGTCCAGATCATTTTGAATTTTAATCCTATCCTCCAAACCACTTGCAACCCCTCCCAGCTTGGTATCGTCCGCAAACTTTGTAAGTGTACTCTATGCCATTATCTAAATCACTGATGAAGATATTGAACAGAACCAGACCCAGAACTGATCCTTGCGGGACCCCACTTGTTATGCCCTTCCAGCATGACTGTGAACCACTGATAGCTACTCTCTGGAAACAATTTTCCAACCAGTTATGCACCCACCTTATAGTAGCTCCATCTATGTAGTATTTCCTTAGTTTGTTTATGAGATGTTCATGCGAGACAGTATCAAAAGCCTTATTAAAGTCAAGATGTACCACATCTACCGCTTCCCCCTTGTATGTAGGGTGTGGACATGGATACATTCTGTCATAGGGTACTAGTAGGAAAGCCCACTCTAATACCTTAAGCTTGCCAGCTGTGTTGCAAAAGAGACTTTTGTGTGTGTGGGGGAGGGGGTTTGTTTGCTTTTCATGGAAGGTGCTTAGATACCACAGTGATGGACAACCTCATAGAAATCTAGGTATGTCAGAGTGGGGTCCTCCCAGGAGTTCCTTGATGTCGGGGTAAGAGATGGAGCAGTGACCTAGAGTAGGATCCTTGGGAACAACCTTTTCTCAGTGGGGAGAGGAGCAGGCCAAGCCCTGCTGTTTCCTGTGTGGAGGAGATGGTACTGCCCTGGGTCTTCCAAGCCAGTCAGAGGCACAGAACGAGTCCCCGAGGAGCCTCCTTGGAGCAGAGTTTAGTAGGGTTCAAGGGAAAATTAGACATTTACACAAATAACCTCTGCAGCTACACTTAGCTAGAATAAAAATGTATAAGGAATATAAACCTTTGTTTTATATTCATGGGATGTAATCTGGCAGGTTGGGGTTAGGAAGAATGATCCTACGTGGGCAGGTTGTTGAAGAAACTTACATGAAAGGGGATTTACACCTTTCTCTGAAGCACCTGGCATCATTCACTAATTGTCTCAGGATATCGGGCTAGGTGAATCATTCATCTGATCTAGTGAGTGTAGCATTTCCTATGACGTTGGCCAAGTCACTTACCCTCACTAGGCCACAGTTTCCCAGTCTGCAAAATGGGGATAATTCTGCACTGACAATACCAGTGTTAGTGGACTTCACCTCTTGGGTCTGTGTTACTGTGGGTGGGTCTGACAGGAACTCTGTAGTTTGAAGATTCTGCGCCTATTGGTTCCAATGGGGGACGTCTTACGCTGCCCCGATGAGTTACCCATGCTTCTACTGTCACATCCTGTCTGAAAAGAGTTGGGGAAGGAACTCCCGAGGGACTGCATTCTGTCCCAACTTGATGCAAGCCTTGGGCACTGTGCTTCACTCTCACACCCTTTCGGGTACCACTGTCAGTTCCTGAGCTCAGTAATGTATTTTTGTGACATCTCTTGCTGATTTCTGCTGTGCCATCAAATGCCGGTGGAGTGCAGTGCCATGGGTGTTATCTGCGTCACTGGGGGGTTTTCTCCTCCTTTTTTAGAAAGGAACTGTCTATAGAAAAAAGGGAGAGAGCCCACATGTTTCAGCAGGGAGGCACATGATGCCTCCTGCTGGATACAACAGCTCTCAACCTCCATCTATGAGAATTCTCACCAGGTGCATGGACTGGGGTGGCATCTCTTGAGATGTAGATCTTCAGTGAACAACGATTACTTGTAAGTAATCATCTCTTGCCTATTTCACATGGGGTTGGATGGAGGATTATGAGATGAGCGGGGCAATTCACATGTCTCTCATAAGCTCTCAGGCTGTCTGCGGGCTTGGGCAGTAATCAATGCTTTGGTTGATATATTTTCAGGATGTTCATTTTATGTTTGGTGATGCATCGCCTCCTTTTTTGGCAGACAGAGATTTTAAATGGGATGACAGAGAAATAGATTTCCCATTCCTTCATCCTTCTCTCTGCAAGCATGCAAACCCCTAATACACAGGGTGGTTTTTTTTTTGGTAGATTAAGGAATGAAACACTTTTGGGGATCCCCTTTCAAAATACTGGCAGCACACTATGTCACATGGAGATAATACTTCCCTATCTCAGTTTTACAGATGACTAAACTTAAGCACTAAGACCTTAAGTGATTTGCCCAGGATCGAACAGAAAGTTTGTGGCACAGTTGGAAGTAGAAATCAGATCTGACTCCCATTCCTATCCTTTACCAAACTACTAAGCTTCTTTGGAGGTATGGTCATGGGAAGGGGTAATGGACTTTGGCAGCCAACTAAAAGATTGATCCCACACATCTGAAGTCAGCAGGAGCAGGCCATAAGCAAGTTACACTACTAAGGAAGTCTCGTGATAAAACAACTGCATTCCTCTTTTGAGGCTTCAGTGGCTGGCAAGGTTCTGCTCCATTTTCCCATAAAGAGTTCTTTGGGAATTTTTCTTTGGTTGTTGCTTTTAGGCTGTTGGCCAAATGGACCAAATGACTGGCATTATTTAATGATTGCTTTTAGTTGAAAGTAAATGATGCTTGGAGACAAAATACTTAAAACTCTTACATATCTTGTGACTGCTCCCTTAGAAGGAGGTTCCAAGATTTTCTGACAGCTTTGAGCAAATCATCATGACTTCTGGCAGAGGATATGTGACCTCTAAGATAGGGCTCCCTTCAAAGCAAGTTGTATCATTACCAGGGTATTTTAAACATTGACACAATTTGTTGAATTACTTTCAAATTGTTCCGTACAACATGCCTGAATGAAAAAATTTGAAGCAGGCAAACGGTCATTCAGTTCAGTCTAAAGCAAGTTTTAATTTATTTTTTAAATGTAGGGCCAAATGCTCCAAACCAAGTTCCACTGGTTCTCCTTGAAGATGTGTCCGGTGTCTATGGCGATACAGATATTGATCGCAACAAGCACATACATAAAAAGAGGAAACTTGCAGAAGGAAGAGAGAAGACCATGGTAACTCCTTTAGACTATTCAATTCTTAATAGAAATTATACCGCATTTGGAATTTAGAACATTAGGAATTTCTGTTTCTGACCAAAATATGCAAAGAAAGAGACTTTTGGTGAGAAGCAGCAAGAACAAAACAATTTTACTGGCAATACTGTAAGTGCTAGTGTCATGATGTGAAAGGAACTGAGCTGAGACTATTACAGGTCTGTTGCATCTTACGCTGGGGTTACGTTCCGCAGTCAGCGCGTAAAGCGAAAATCGCGTATAGTCAAAATTACATTGAGTGTAATGGTGGGCGGAATTGCCCGCACTAGAGGTATAGTATTAAAATTGTTGTTTTTCTCTTTTGTTTTTTGTTTTTGTTTTTGCCGACCGCATAAAGCTGAAATCGCGCATGTTAAATGCGTGTAAGATGTGACAGACCTGTATTTATTTGATTGTACTATGTTTTCAGGCAGGAATTCTATAGGCAAAGTGCTATTGCATAATAGCTGGCCTGTAATAAGTTATGTGTTTGCTCTGTCTCTTTCATAGGAGAAAAAGTACTATTTTATAGAATTACATTGTTGGGAAAAGTACACATTTTAGAAGAATTACATGTGATTTGCAGTATGCCATGATGGTTTTGGATTGACTGAGAAGGTTTAGCTCTTACTTCAGTAATAAATTATTCTAGTGCAATCTGGATAACAATACCACAATTTGACCAATGTGTAACAGATTGAACTCTTTAGAGATGCAATTTATGATGACATGGCACTCAGGATCTCGAGAGCTTATTTTTAGAGTAAAATAAAAATTTTTCCACTATTTTTCTTTTTTTTTTTGCTAAAGGAATTAGTAATATTTAATATATAATTAATGCTAAGCATAGAAATAGTGAAAAGTCTATTCTGAAGATATTTGCACTGGGATTGTTTGCTTTGACGCTTATACGCAATGTTGCAGAAGTTCCATTAGATTCTTTTGAAAAACATTTAATTTAAAGAGAGCGAAATGTTTTGTCTATACTGATCCTTAAGCAGAGTTCGGATGATGAAGACCCTTCTGGGAAGGGGAGAAGTCGTCACATCACAATAAATAAGACAGACCTTGCAAACTCTGTTGAAGTACTAGAGAGCTTTAAACTGGCAAGAGAGAGCTGGGAGCTTCTCTATTCTCTGGAATCACTCGATAAAGGTAAGGATGATTGCAGGCATTTCTGTGTTTATGCGTTCTTGTTAGAGAAGAATTGTTTGAATGTTAAAATACAGTTCAGGTATTTCTGAAAGTACCCTCTGTTTTGGAAGCCTGGATGGTTTGAGATTGGGAATTGAGATAAGAAACCTTATCAATTATCTTGGAATTTTGGTTTATTTGTTGTTTTTTAGTTCCTCCATACTTCTGTACTCATTCACTTGCCTTTCCTTGAAAGCAGCTTTTACTAAGGTAGCACATAGGTGGTAATAGAAAAGAAAGAGAAATGGGAGAACGTAGTACCGAATGGATACCAAAACCTTAAGTGTGGGGGTGTTGCTAGTAACCTCCTGAAGATTTGCATGTAACAGATAAAAGTTCCCCAGCAATTTGTTTCTTTGAAGATAGTTACTGGGTCTTTTCTGATTATAATGTGTTTTTTATTGGTCTTATATTTGTTATTTGAAAAAATACTTCATACAAAGAGTACCAGTTAGTCGTATTTAGGTATGTTGAATACTTTCGTCCTGAAGAATAGCATGATAAATAGAAAAATGGTGGATTAGAAATTGTCCTATGTTGAAAATGTTTTTGTTCCGTCTTATTATTTTTCAGTTTTATTATTATTAGATGCCTTTTAAACAAAAGTTTTGCAATGCTTCCCCTCCCACCCTTAAGACTACTGTCTGATTGTTTCCACAGAATTCTCAAGAATTTGCTTGTCGTGGAAGACAGATACCTGGCTTTGGTTACGAATCTTCCTCACAGATATGATCATTTACCAGGTAAATGAAAGAATGAGACTTAGACTTTTACATAGCCCTTCGACCTAATGGATTTGTGTCCTGGCTAGCTGCATCTTTGATCCCTCTTACATTTCTCTCTAGTGCACCCTTTCAGGTAGCAGGCCCTGTTTCTTCATTCCTCTCAAGGCGGAATCCCTCAATTCTCTACCCACAGAGCAGGTCCCTGGCCTACAAGCACCCCTGTCTGTCAACTGTTTCCTTAGCAGGCCCAGCTGGGTTTGGCTCATGCAAGAGACTTCCTTTTGGAAGCTGTGAACAGTAGATAAATGCAGTCACTCTGAGCACAACCTTCTTCTTCTCCCCCCCCACCCCACCCCAAAGTCTTTATTTATCCATAGGACATAGCAATCAGAATAAAAAAGGGTTAAAGCAGTGGTCCCCAACCTTTCCGTTTGGTGGGCGCCGGACGACTAGCCGCCGAGGAGCCTGGCCGCCGGACAAGCAGTCGCCGAAATGCCACCAAGAAGCGGCAACGCCAAGAAGCATTGCTGCCGAAATGCTGTCGAGAAGCAGCGTCACCGCCGAAAATCAGCAGCATTTCAGCGGCACCGCTTCTTGACGTTCCTGCTTCTCGGCAGCATTTCAGCGGCTGCTTGTCCGGCGGCCAGTAGGTGGGTGCACATAGATGCCCTGGCGGGCGCCATGGCACCCACAGGCACTGCGTTGGGGACCACTGGGTTAAAGCAACAAAAGGCTTACATGCATATATCTGACCTAATAATAAATAAAAATAATACTTACCTCTTATAAAGCACCTTTCATTAGTAGATCCCAAAGAACTTTGTAGAGGTCAATATCATTATCCCCATTTTTCAGTTGGGGAAACTGAGGCCCAGAAGGGTGACGTGACTTGCCCCAGGTTACCCAGCAGACTAGTATAGTAGAGCAGGGAATAGAACCCAGGTCTCATAAGTCCTAGTGCTGTATTCGCTATGCTACACTTGAAGAAGGCCCTTGCATCTCAGGTATCTCTTCCTCTGGGGACTGGGGTTTTATCTGCTTCTCTGCTGACACTGCCCCACCCTTGAGCTCAGGGCCTCAGGTTTTTATCTACTTAACAGTGCTTTGTTCCATGTTCCCATCTGAAGCCCCTCCCTCCCTCCCAAATCAGCTGTTGTGTCCAGGTTGGTCAAAGACAAAACTTCAAAGGCATTAACACCTATTTTGTCAGTTAAGTACTGGTGGTTGGGTTTTCGAAAACCCATTGCCTGCCTTCCTGCAGAGGGATGTGAGGGGAATGCCTGCAGGAAATAACCTTTGAATCATCTAACCATGATCAAGCATAACAATGATCAAACAGTAACACATAATAGTCATAAAAATAATAGCCATAACACCCACAATTTTCTTAATTTACTTGTATTTTGAATGCAAAATTTCAGAATGTTTCAAACCAACCTATCCTGTGTTTTTCCCTTACTTAATCTGATTTTCGGTTGACTGTGGCCTTGTCGTCTCTAGAAATTTTTTGCTTACATACCTATAGGGGTATAATTATACCAGCGAACTCTAGTGTAGATGCAGTTTTACTGGCATAAAAACACTTCTGCATAGCTTACTCCAGTTCCCCAAGATACATAAGCTATGCTGGCAAAAACACTTTTAGATCAGTATAAGTGCATCTATTCCTTGACTTATGCTGGCATAGCTATGTTACTTTAAAAAAAAAAAAAATCACACTCCTAACCAACATAGATATGCCAGTGTAAATTTTAAATGTAGACTAGGCCTTAGTGACACAGTGCATTTTGCTGCTCTCTTGCTGTTAGGAATGGTTTTCTTGGAGCAATTTTTTAATTTTCTCTTTGCAATCTCAATGTAAATAAGCATATAACAAAAGTCACCTAGTAGTTTCATATGCTTTGGTCATTCCTGCTATTTTAAATGGAAAATTACAATATTTTTTTAAAAAAGAGAGATTAAGGGTACGTCTATACCCAGCCGCTAGTTCGGCGGCTGGCAATCGAACTTCTCGGTTCGCCTTATTGAGTCCTGTCTTGGCACGGGAACTTCAAAACGGAAGGGCACG